GAAGCTACCGGCTGAGGCCGGAGCCGCCACCACCTCCATGAGGGGCTCCCTCCCACACCTCAGGGTAAGAACCTAACGGAAGGGCTTGGCTTGGGGGCGTGGAGGAGGCTGTGTTGGTGAGGTAGGATGGGGGTGATGGGAAGGGAGTTGATGCCTAATCTCGTGCATTGGAACTAACCCAGTGGGGTGGGCAGGCTGGGGGAATTGAGACAGATGACTGTTACTGGCTGTGGTGCCGGCCTGGACCCAGAACCAGTTGGAGGCCAATGGGGGCTATGACAGTCCACCTCTCCAGCTGAGAGCGGGTGAGAGACGTCAGCCTGGGGACAGCAGTCAAGGGTGGTACCGCAGGCTCTGCCTGGCAGCCCGGACTGCCAGAGGAGTTTGGGGGCTATCTTTGCTCAGAGGCAGAAGAATCAGAGAAAGGGGAATGCGCCTAATGGGAGGGTCCCTGGGTGTCAGCTGCTGGGTTGCTCAGCTGCTCCTATGCCCGGGGTGAGCAGGGCAGCGAGTTTTTGCCAAGTAAGGGAAGGTGGGGGACACTATGGGGAGAGGAGAGGAAAGGGTCATTAAGATGTGGCACGTGCCTCCTCATGGATCGACTGGTTTGCAGTGGGCTCCGGCACCCTGTTCCCTGGGCCAGCTTGAGACTGGGACACTAAGTCCCCCTTTCTGGCCCCACTGAGGCCACTCCGGAGATTGAGCGTGCTCCCTCCTCAGCAGCCACCCTGCATTCCCAGCCCTGAACACAGGTTCCCAGTCTCAGCTCCACCCCCACTTCATCTCCGCTTCTCGTCCCAAGATGGGGGCTCTTGAATAGAGGAGCCAGTTTCTTCTCCCTCTCTGCGTACCCCCCTTCCCCAACCCCCATGCAGAGGCAGCCAAGAAAATGACTTGTCATGCTGGGGTGGGGGTTGGGGGTGGAGCTGGCGCCTGAGCTTAGCGCGCACACTCACACACACACTCACACACTGCGGCATACTGCAGCTGCCCGAGCGCCCCCCCTCCCCTCTGCCTCACTGCGGAGACACCTGCCCTCCTGCCCGCTCAGCCTCCACACCAAGGCCAGCCACCACCCCAGCACTGGCCATGGGAAGTGCCCCTCCTCCCCAGAGAGCCTTCTCCGAAGAGAAAAGAAAAACAAGCCAGTTCCCTTCTGTAGACCTGGGGGAGCAGAAGAGAGAAGCAGGGCTTTTTCTCAGGCCTAAAAAAGAGGGGTGCAGGGTATGTAGTTGCTCAGGGGTAGGGGCAGGGATAAGCTCTTATGACAGGACAGAAACTGGGATTACAGAAGTCTTGTGGTTATAGGCAGGGGACTGAGGAATGATGGACGGGGTGGGGGGCAGGAAGTGGAGGAAAGCGAATCAGTCTTTACGATGGATACTTCTCTTCCTGACCATTGTGGTTCGTTTGCGTGACCTTTTTGTGTGTGGGGAACTCTTGCCTGTCTAGATCCTAACTACTTAAGGCTGGCAACATCCTGGACCTTGATATTCCCTTGCCTGCCCACGTCCTGCCCCGGCTGCCTCTGAGATGGCTCTCCTCCTCTGAACTGACCCCAGAGTTTTCTGCAATTCCCAAGTACATAGAGGAGAACACTTGAACTCTTGCGCACTGCCCACCCTGCATGGGGTTTGGTCTTCTGACTGTGCGTAGTCCTCCCCAGCCCCTGAAGCTGCAACTGCAGCTCTGAGCTGCCAGGTCTGCCTGATCCTGGCGCCACAGTTCTTCCTCTTAATAAAGGCCCTTTTGCAGGCTCCCCGTGTGGGATCCCCAGAAAGAGGAGAGAGCTGGGTCACAGAAGGGATGCTAGGGGACAAATTATGAGCCCTCCTACCAATGTCCTCCAAGTAGCCCATTTCCCGGGCCGTCTAGTGGATTGTCTGTTTGTAAGGCCACTTTCACTCCCACAATTGGGAAGAGTGTGCGGGGAGGAGGGCCAGGAGTTAGGGCTGGCAATACTCTTCAGTATCTCTAACCTGTCACTTTCTTTATTTGTTGTATTGGTTGGTGTTTCATATGAGTCTGGAAAAGAGAAATAGGGGACTTGGGGATCTCTTCTCTTTCTCCATGGCCTGGGGAACATCTTGAATCTTTCCTTCCTTATATATCTATCTGTTTGTGAACCCCTCACTCTGTCTTGGTGGGAAAAGGCCCACAGGAGAGGGCAAGGATGACAGGAAAAACTGTTATAAGTAATGGGTCGTAGGGTAGTGAAATAGGCTTCTCTGGAGCTTTGGGGACATGAAGGCGAGGTGGGAGAGCAGCCATGAAACCTTTGGGGGTGGAAACGTGATTGCATGCCGGTGTATGAGTACAGGCTTGGCCGCTGAGGAACTAGAAATGAAGCTAGGAAGTTATAGTCCTATACCTGCTCTTTGAATTGTAAAACCCCAAATGCTTAGATTGCACAGGCATCTCTGAGTCCTCTGGAACAGGAATTCTGACTTGGGATCCAGGGTTGGAAAGGAAGGGGGAGTCTATGAAGCACTTTACAGAAGCTCCCATCTCCTTATTTCCAGACACTCCGCTGGCACAAAAGTCCAGGGAAGAGGCGAGCTGGTGAGGAGAAAGCTGAGTGTGGCTCATCCTCCCAGGAGCCCTCTCTCCAGCTGAGCCCCCTTTCCCCAGGCAGCACCAGGAGCTTAGTGCTCGAGAGGGACAAAAGCTTCTTGTCAACAGGGCAGCCTGAAGCGGGAGTTCCAGGCAGAGGGTGGGGGCTTGGGCAGCAGAGGATGTAGCAGATGAAGGGAAGGAGAGACAGCCAGTGTAGGAGAGGGGAGGTGGAAACCCTGCAGGAGAAGAGCTGGAGAAGCCAGTTCCTAGATTTTATAACGTTCAAGGTGGCAGGATCTAAGAGGAGTCCTGTTTCTCTTTTCCCTAAGCCCTATCCTCTGATAGTACAGTCTTTCTTCTGCCCCACGTAATGCCTCTCCATGTTAGTCTATGCCTACTCTTATTTTTAAAAATTATTTTTATTTAACTTTTCTAGTTTGTTCAGGGAGACAGAGAGAGGGAAAGTGAGAAAGCAAGCCACCAGGTCCAGGACTTGAACTGCAATTGTTCCATGTGGGAGTCCAGTGCACTTAACCACCACCTCACCTGCCGGCTACCACCTACTCTTAATAATACAAATTCTTACATCTCTCCTTCAGGCCAGAGGACCCTCTGCCACCAGAGTGAGATCCTAGAGACCATCATCCTAGTAAACCCCAGTGCACACAGCATCAGCTCTGAGGTAAGCTCAGGGCCTGTGTCTTGCCAAGAAGGTCTGCTGTAAGGGCTATAACCTACTTTTGCCAGTCCTGACACTTTAAAGCCAGAAATTTCTCTCTTTGCCATCTAGGCTGATATATAATTCACAGCCCCACTCTGAAGGTATTTGGGGGGAACTCCAGAAGAGAGCACATCCCAGCAGTACTGAGGGGAACACCAACAACGTTCCATGCCCTTCCCTACATCTGCACTGCTCTCCTTCCCTTTCAGGTTCACCATCTCCTCTGTAGCCCATCAGCTCACAAACTACTGATCTTGAGCGGGCAAAGCTTAGAGCCTGCAGGAGACCTCATCCTACAGAGTGGCACCTACTCCTACCAAAACTTTGCCCAGGTCCTTCACAACCCAGAGGTAAGTTCCATGCTCTAGTGTCTGGGGAGGAAAGTGATATGGGGCAGGACTAAAGCTGTGAGGAGGGAACTAAGGAAAGGAAAATCTTGCATTGTTTGACCAGAGGGCCCTGGCAGAAAGATAGGCATTTACCTTAGGAAGAGGTGATGATTAGGGGATTGAATCTGAGTCAGGTAAATACAACCCAATGACCTGATCAGGCTTCTATCTTCATTCCTCTAGATTGCCCAGTTGCTCAGCAATAGAGACCCTGGGATCCAGGCCTTCCTCACCGCAAGCCACCAGGTCCAGGACTTGAACTGCAATTGTTCCATGTGGGAGTCCAGTGCACTTAACCACCACCTCACCTGCCGGCTACCACCTACTCTTAATAATACAAATTCTTACATCTCTCCTTCAGGCCAGAGGACCCTCTGCCACCAGAGTGAGATCCTAGAGACCATCATCCTAGTAAACCCCAGTGCACACAGCATCAGCTCTGAGGTAAGCTCAGGGCCTGTGTCTTGCCAAGAAGGTCTGCTGTAAGGGCTATAACCTACTTTTGCCAGTCCTGACACTTTAAAGCCAGAAATTTCTCTCTTTGCCATCTAGGCTGATATATAATTCACAGCCCCACTCTGAAGGTATTTGGGGGGAACTCCAGAAGAGAGCACATCCCAGCAGTACTGAGGGGAACACCAACAACGTTCCATGCCCTTCCCTACATCTGCACTGCTCTCCTTCCCTTTCAGGTTCACCATCTCCTCTGTAGCCCATCAGCTCACAAACTACTGATCTTGAGCGGGCAAAGCTTAGAGCCTGCAGGAGACCTCATCCTACAGAGTGGCACCTACTCCTACCAAAACTTTGCCCAGGTCCTTCACAACCCAGAGGTAAGTTCCATGCTCTAGTGTCTGGGGAGGAAAGTGATATGGGGCAGGACTAAAGCTGTGAGGAGGGAACTAAGGAAAGGAAAATCTTGCATTGTTTGACCAGAGGGCCCTGGCAGAAAGATAGGCATTTACCTTAGGAAGAGGTGATGATTAGGGGATTGAATCTGAGTCAGGTAAATACAACCCAATGACCTGATCAGGCTTCTATCTTCATTCCTCTAGATTGCCCAGTTGCTCAGCAATAGAGACCCTGGGATCCAGGCCTTCCTCACCGTGTCCTGCTTAGGGGAGGGTGATTGGAGCCACTTGGGACTGTCCAGTTCCCAAGAGACCTTGCACCTCCGGCTAAACCCTGAGCCCACGCTGCCCACCATGGATGGTGTGGCTGAGTTCTCCGAGTACGTCTCTGAGACTGTGGATGTGCCATCCCCCTTTGACCTGCTAGAGCCCCCAACCTCAGGGGGCTTCCTCAAGCTCTCCAAGCCTTGCTGCTACATCTTCCCAGGTGGCCGCGGGGATTCTGCCCTCTTTGCTGTCAATGGTTTCAACATCCTGGTGGATGGTGGCTCTGATCGCAAGTCCTGTTTCTGGAAGCTGGTGCGGCACCTGGACCGCATTGACTCAGTGTTGCTCACGCACATTGGAGCAGACAACCTTCCGGGCATCAATGGACTCCTGCAGCGCAAAGTGGCAGAGCTAGAAGAAGAGCAGTCCCAGGGTTCTAGCAGCTACAGCGACTGGGTGAAGAACCTCATTTCCCCGGAGCTTGGAGTTGTCTTCTTTAATGTGCCCGACAAGCTGCGGCTGCCTGATGCCTCCCGGAAGGCCAAGCGCAGCATTGAGGAGGCCTGCCTCACTCTGCAACACCTAAACCGATTGGGCATCCAGGCCGAGCCTCTGTACCGTGTGGTCAGCAACACCATTGAGCCGCTGACTCTCTTCCACAAAATGGGTGTGGGCCGGCTGGACATGTATGTCCTCAACCCTGTCAAGGACAGCAAGGAGATGCAGTTCCTCATGCAAAAGTGGGCAGGCAATAGTAAAGCCAAGACAGGCATTGTGCTGGCCAATGGGAAGGAGGCAGAGATCTCAGTGCCCTACCTGACCTCTATCACTGCTCTTGTGGTCTGGCTACCAGCCAACCCCACTGAGAAGATAGTGCGTGTGCTTTTTCCAGGAAATGCTCCCCAGAACAAGATCTTGGAGGGCCTGGAAAAGCTTAGGCACCTGGACTTCCTGCGTTACCCTGTGGCCACACAGAAGGACCTGGCTGCTGGGGCTGTGCCTGCCAACCTCAAACCCAGCAAAATCAAACAGCGGGCTGACAGCAAGGAGAGCCTCAAAGCCACTACCAAGACAGTTGTGAGCAAGCTGGCTAAACGGGAGGAGGTAGCAGAAGAGGGAGCCAAGGAGGCCCGCTCAGAGCTGGCCAAGGAATTAGCCAAGACAGAGAAGAAGACAAAAGAGCCATCTGAGAAGCCCCCAGAGAAGCCTGCCAAGCCAGAGAGGGTGAGGACAGAGTCAAGTGAGGCACTGAAGGCCGAGAAGCGAAAGCTGATCAAGGACAAGGTTGGGAAGAAACACCTTAAAGAAAAGATATCAAAGCTGGATGAGAAAAAAGATAAGGAGAAAAAAGAGATCAAGAAAGAGAGGAAGGAGTTCAAGAAGGATGAGGGAAGGAAGGAGGAGAAGAAAGATGCCAAGAAGGAGGAAAAAAGGAAAGATACCAAATTTGAGGTCAAGAAGATTTCCAAGCCAGACCTGAAGCCCTTTACTCCTGAGGTCCGTAAGACCCTCTATAAAGCCAAGGCCCCTGGAAGAGTCAAAATGGACAAGAGCCGAGTTGCCCGTGGCGAGAAGGAGCTGTCTTCTGAGCCTCGGACACCCCCAGCCCAGAAGGGGGCTGTGCCACTCCCAGCAGTCAGTGGGCACAGAGAGCAGACCCTGTCCTCACCAGAGGACCTCACACAGGACTTTGAGGAGATGAAGCGTGAAGAGAGGGGTTTGCTGGCTGAACAGAGGGTCACAGGACTAGGAGAGAAAACCCTTCCTCCAGACACTACAGAGGAGGGCACCCCAAGTACAGCTATTCAAGGAACACCATCTGTCCCGGGGCTGGAGCAAGAAGAGCAGATGAGGAAAGAGAAAGAGGTTGTCTCAGATATCCTTGAGGAACAAAGTGGCAAGGACAGAGGCCCAGACTTGGCTGAAACAGAGGAGAAGAAAGATACCTGGGAGGAAAAGAAGCAGAAGGAAGCAGAGAGGCTCCCAGATAAAACAGAAGCCAGAGAGGAAAGTGAACCTGAGGTAAAAGAGGACGTGATAGAGAAGGCTGAGTTAGAGGAGATGGAGGAGGTGCACCCTTCAGACGAGGAGGAAGAGGAGGAGACAAAGGCTGAGGGATTTTACCAAAAGCATATGCAGGAAGCTTTGAAGGTGACTCCAAGGGGCAGAGAGGCCCTTGGGGCCAGGGAACTGGGATTCCAGGGCAAGGCCCCTGAGAAGGAGACCTCATCATTCCTAAGCAGCCTGGCCACACCTGCAGGAGCCACTGAGCACGTCTCTTACATCCAGGATGAGACAATTCCTGGCTACTCAGAGACTGAGCAGACCATCTCAGATGAGGAGATCCATGATGAGCCAGAGGAGCGCCCAGCTCCACCCAGATTCCCTACAAGTATGTATGACCTCTCTGGACCTGAAGGTCCTGGCCCCTTTGAAGCCAGCCAGCCTGCGGATAGCACTGCTCCAGTCACCTCCGGCAAGGGCTATGGTGCACCAGAGACTGAACTCACCTACCCCCCCAACATGGTGGCTGCTCCTTTGGCTGAAGAGGAACACGTGTCCTCAGCCACCTCAATCACTGAGTGTGACAAGCTTTCTTCATTTGCTACTTCAGTGGCTGAGGACCAGTCTGTGGCTTCACTCACAGCTCCCCAGACAGAGGAGACAGGCAAGAGCTCCTTACTGCTTGATACAGTCACAAGCATTCCCTCCTCCCGCACTGAAGCAACTCAGGGCTTGGACTATGTGCCCTCAGCTGGTACCATCTCACCCACCTCCTCACTGGAAGAGGACAAGGGCTTCAAATCACCACCCTGTGAGGATTTCTCTGTGACCGGGGAGTCAGAGAGGAGAGGAGAGGCTGCAGGGAGAGGCCTTCCTGAAGAGAGAGCCGTGGAAGAGGAAAAGGAGGAGAGGGTAAAGGTACAGATATCCGAGAAACTTAGCGGTCAATATGGAACTCCAGTGTTTGGTACCCCAGGCCATGCCTTACATCCAGGAGAACCAGCCCTTGGAGAGGGAGAAGAACGGTGCCTCAGCCCAGACGACAGCACAGTGAAAATGGCCTCTCCTCCACCATCTGGCCCACCCAGTGCCACCCACACACCCTTTCATCAGTCCCCAGTGGATGAAAAGTCCGAGCCCCAGGACTTTGAAGAAGCAGATTCCTGGGGAGACACCAAGCGCACACCAGGTGTGGGCAAGGAAGATGTTGCAGAGGAGACTGTCAAGCCAGAACCTGAAAAGAGCACATTAGAGAAGGAGAGGAAGGTGTCTCCTCCCAGGAGCCCCCAAACCCAGGAAGGACCTGTCAGCATCATTGGGGGACATACAGGCTGTACCATTCAGCTGTTGCCGGAGCAGGACAAAGCAATAGTCTTTGAGACTATGGAGGCAGGAGAGCCCACAGTTCCAATTCTGGGAGCAGACTCTCTTCCCAGAGATTTGGGGCCATCACTCCAAGAACCTGGTGAACCCCAGAAAGATGAGGTGCTCCAGTTTCCTGATCAAAGCCTCTCTCCTGAAGATGGAGAGTCTCTCTCTGTCCTTAGTGTGGTCTCCCCAGACACTGCCAAACAAGAGTGTACTTCTAGGTCCCCCTGTGGCCTGACAGAACAGCAGCTACACAGAGGTCTTTGGCCAGAGGTGTCTCCAGAAGACACCCAGTCCCTTTCTCTTTCAGAAGGGAGTCCTAGCAAAGAGACCTCTCTGGATATCTCTTCTAAACAGCTCTCTCCAGAAAATCTTGGCACCCTCCAGTTTGGGGAATTAAGCCTTGGAAAGGAAGAAAAGGGGCCTCTGATGCAGGCTGAGGACACCTCTCACCACCTAGCTCCCATGTCTGTTCCAGAGCCCCAGGCAGCCATGGTATCACCTCCCACAGATGAGACCACTGGGTACTCTGCACAGGCAGGTGTCACAGATGAGAGCCCTGACAGAAAATTACCTGCCAGCTGCTCTCATTCTACTCTCTCAGGAGATGAGAAGCACTCACCCAGGGCGATCTCAAGCCCTGGTGAACACATTCTGACATCTGACAGCTCCGTGACCAAGAGTCCTGAGTCTTTGCCAAGCCCTGCCATGGAGGACATTGCCATGGAGTGGGAGGGTAAAGTTCCAGATTTGGAAGGAAGGGCCCCAGAACAAAAGGACAATGAACTTGAGCTAAAAGATGATGTGCCACAGCAGAAGGACAAAACTCAGGAGCAGAAGGATACAGCTAGTCATCAGAAAGATGAGGTGCTGGAAGAAATCAACAAGGCTGGGGAACAGCAGGGTCAGGGTTTCCAGCAAAAAGACACAGCCCTGGAACTGAAGGAAAAGATCCCAGAAGAGAAGGACAAAGTCTTAGGACAAATGATCACAGTCCCAGAACAGAAAGACCAGGTACTGGAACCAAAAGACAGAGACTTAGAACAAAAAGGCGCAGCCTTGGAACAAAAGGACATGGGCCTGGAACCAAAAGACAAAAACTTAGAACAAAAAGAAAGAGACTTAGAACAAAAAGACAGGGTCCTGGAAGAGAAGGATAAGACCTCAGAAAAGAAAGACAAAGTCTTAGAACAAAAAGTCCAAGACTTTGAACATAAAGACAAAGTTCCAGAGGACAAAGTCCCTGAACTGGAGAGGAAGGCCCTAGAAGAGACCTACAAAACCTCTGAGCAGAAAGACAAAGCCCAGCAACAGAAGGATAAGGTCTTAGGAGAGAAGGATCAAGCCTTAGGAGAAGAATTAGGACAGAAGAACGAAGCCCTGGAACAAAACAATAAAGCTGCTGAACAGAAAGATAAGTCTCTGGAAAAGGAAGATCAGACTCATGGGCAGGACAGCTTAGTGCAGGAGAAACCCATGAAACTAAAGATGGAGGAAAAATCCCCAGAAAAGATGAAGACCAAAGCTCTGGGACTGGAGGAGAGCGCAGTGCAGGAAAGCAAGGCCCAAGAGCAGGAAGAGAAGTACTGGAAGGAGCAGGAAACAGTCCAGGAGTGGCAAGAAACATCTCCAACCAGAGGGGAGCCAGCTGGAGAACAGAAAGAGCCTGCCCCAGCGTGGGAGGACACATCTGAGCAGGAGGACAGGTATTGGAGGGGCAGAGAAGATGTGGCCCTGGAACAGGACACATACTGGAGGGAGCTGAGCTGTGAGCGGAAGGTCTGGTTTCCTCATGAGCTGGATAGCCAGGGGACCCGCCCAAGGTACACTGAGGAACGAGAGAGCACTTTCCTTGATGAGGGGCCAGATGATGATCAGGAAGTACCTCCCTTGGAACACACACCCCGGAGCCCCTGGACCTCAGACTTCAAGAATTTCCAGGAGTCCTCACCACAGAAAGGGTTAGAGGTGGAGCGCTGGCTCGCTGAGTCACCAGTTGGGCTGCCTCCAGAGGAAGAGGACAAACTTGCCCGCTCTCCTTTTGAAATCATCTCCCCTCCAACCTCTCCACCTGAGATGGTTGGACAGAGGGTTTCTCCAGCCCCAGGACAAGAGAGCCCTATCCCAGAGCCTAAGCCCATGCCTCCTATGAGGAACGAACCCACTACTCCCTCATGGCTGGCTGATATCCCACCATGGGTGCCCAAGGACAGACCCTTGCCCCCTGCTCCCCTCTCCCCAGCTCCAGCTCCCCCGACACCTGCCCCAGAGCCACACACTCCTGCATCCTTCTCCTGGGGCACAGCAGAGTATGACAGTGTGGTGGCTGCAGTGCAGGATGGAGCAGCTGAGTTGGAAGGTGGACCATACTCCCCCCTGGGGAAGGACTACCGTAAGGCTGAAGGGGAAAGGGAAGAAGAAGGTGGGACTGGGGCACCTGATGGCAGCCCACACAGCTCAAAGGTTCCAGACACCAGCGAGAGCTGTACTACCAGAGAGCCTGAGCAGACTGAGCCAGAGGAGAGGGAGCCCACGCCCTATCCTGATGAGAGAAGCTTTCAGTATGCAGACATCTACGAGCAGATGATGCTTACTGGGCTTGGCCCTGCGTGCCCTACCAGAGAGCCTCCACTCGGAGCTGCTGGGGATTGGCCCCTTCGCCTCTCAACCAAAGAGGAGGCTGCCGGACGAAACACATCAGCAGAAAAGGAGCTTTCATCTCCTGTCTCGCCCAAGAGCCTCCAATCTGACACTCCAGCCTTCAGCTATGCAGCCCTGGCAGGACCCACTGTACCCCCTAGGCAGGAGCCTAAGCCAGGGCCGGGTGTGGAGCCCAGCCTCGTCCCACCTGCAGTACCCCCTCGTGCTCCTATCCCTCTGAGCAAAGGTCCAAGCCCCCCTCTCAATGGTAACATCCTGAGCTGCAGTCCAGAGAGGAGGACCCCATCACCCAAGGAATCAGGCCGGCCTCACTGGGATGACAGTACTAGTGACTCAGAGTTGGAGAAGGGGGCTCGGGAACAGCCAGAGAAAGAGGCCCAGTCCCCAAGCCCCCCTCACCCCATCCCTTCAGGGCCCTCCACATTGTGGCCAGAAACTGAGGCACACACCACCCCTTCCTCGGACTCACACCTGGGCCCTGCCCGACCCAGCCTGGACTTCCCTGCTTCAGCCTTTGGCTTCTCTTCCTTGCAGCCAGCTCCCCCACAGCTGCCCTCTCCAGCTGAACCCCGCTCGGCACCTTGTGGCTCCCTTGCCTTCTCTGGGGACCGAGCTCTGGCTCTGGCTCCGGGACCCCCAACCAGAGCCCGGCATGATGAGTATCTGGAAGTGACCAAGGCCCCCAGCCTGGACTCCTCTCTACCCCAACTCCCATCACCCAGCTCTCCCGGGGCCCCTCTCCTCTCCAATCTGCCACGACCAGCCTCACCAGCCTTGTCTGAAGGCTCCTCCTCTGAGGCCACCACACCTGTGATTTCAAGTGTGGCTGAGCGCTTCCCTCCAGGCCTGGAGGCTACAGAACAGGAATCTGGAGGAATGGAACCAGCTGCCCGCAGCCTCTGGGACCTCACTCCTCTGAGCCCAGCACCCCCTGCATCGCTGGACTTGGCCCCAGCTCCGGCTCCGAGCCTGCCTGTAGACCTGGATGATGGCACCCTGCCCTGCCGCCTGGAGTGCTCAGGGGAAGCCACCAAGAAGCCAAGCCCCTTCCAGGATCCCTCTGGGGACTGTGCAGCCAATGGCCCAACTGAAACCAGCCCCAAACCTCTAGGTCCTACCCCAGCCAGAGCTGAGAAAGAGGCTGAGGTCTGTCCTGCCTGGGAACGTGGGGCCTGGCCAGAGGGAGCCGAGAGGAGCTCCCGGCCTGACACACTACTCTCCCCTGAGCAGCCACTGTGTCCTGGAGGGGGCTCTGGTGGCCCACCCAGCAGTGTTTCTCCTGAGGTTGAGGCTGGGCCTCAGGGATGTGCTGCTGATCCCCGGCACCACCGTGGGGAGCTCTCCCCATCCTTCCTAAACCCACCTCTGCCCCCATCTACAGATGACAGTGACCTCTCAACTGAGGAAGCTCGGCTGGTGGGAAGAGGGGGACGGCGCCGGGCAGGAGGACCAGGGGCCTCAGGGGGACCATGCCCTGTGGCTGATGAGACACCCCCGACATCAGCCAGTGACTCAGGCTCCTCACAGTCAGATTCTGATGTCCCGCCAGAAACTGAAGAGTGTCCATCCATCACAGCTGAGGCAGCCCTCGACTCAGATGAAGATGGGGACTTCCTTCCTGTGGACAAAGCTGGGGGCATCAGTGGAACTCACCATCCCAGGCCCGGCCACGACCCGCCCCCTATCCCCCAGCCAGATCCTCGCCCATCCCCTCCTCGCCCTGATGTGTGCATGGCTGACCCTGAGGGGCTCAGCTCAGAGTCTGGGAGGGTAGAAAGGCTACGGGAGAAGGAGAAGGTACAAGGGCGAGTAGGACGCAGGCCCCCAGGCAGGGCCAAGCCAGCGTCCCCTGCACGGCGTCTGGATCTTCGGGGAAAACGCTCACCCACTCCTGGTAAAGGGCCAACAGATCGAACATCCCGGGCCCCACCCCGACCTCGCAGCACTCCAAGCCAGGTCCCCCCAGCAGAGGAAAAGGATGGACACAGCCCCATGTCCAAAGGCCTAGTCAACGGACTGAAGGCAGGACCGAGTAAGTATAACATGAAAAGCACCAAGAAGCCAAGCCCCTTCCAGGATCCCTCTGGGGACTGTGCAGCCAATGGCCCAACTGAAACCAGCCCCAAACCTCTAGGTCCTACCCCAGCCAGAGCTGAGAAAGAGGCTGAGGTCTGTCCTGCCTGGGAACGTGGGGCCTGGCCAGAGGGAGCCGAGAGGAGCTCCCGGCCTGACACACTACTCTCCCCTGAGCAGCCACTGTGTCCTGGAGGGGGCTCTGGTGGCCCACCCAGCAGTGTTTCTCCTGAGGTTGAGGCTGGGCCTCAGGGATGTGCTGCTGATCCCCGGCACCACCGTGGGGAGCTCTCCCCATCCTTCCTAAACCCACCTCTGCCCCCATCTACAGATGACAGTGACCTCTCAACTGAGGAAGCTCGGCTGGTGGGAAGAGGGGGACGGCGCCGGGCAGGAGGACCAGGGGCCTCAGGGGGACCATGCCCTGTGGCTGATGAGACACCCCCGACATCAGCCAGTGACTCAGGCTCCTCACAGTCAGATTCTGATGTCCCGCCAGAAACTGAAGAGTGTCCATCCATCACAGCTGAGGCAGCCCTCGACTCAGATGAAGATGGGGACTTCCTTCCTGTGGACAAAGCTGGGGGCATCAGTGGAACTCACCATCCCAGGCCCGGCCACGACCCGCCCCCTATCCCCCAGCCAGATCCTCGCCCATCCCCTCCTCGCCCTGATGTGTGCATGGCTGACCCTGAGGGGCTCAGCTCAGAGTCTGGGAGGGTAGAAAGGCTACGGGAGAAGGAGAAGGTACAAGGGCGAGTAGGACGCAGGCCCCCAGGCAGGGCCAAGCCAGCGTCCCCTGCACGGCGTCTGGATCTTCGGGGAAAACGCTCACCCACTCCTGGTAAAGGGCCAACAGATCGAACATCCCGGGCCCCACCCCGACCTCGCAGCACTCCAAGCCAGGTCCCCCCAGCAGAGGAAAAGGATGGACACAGCCCCATGTCCAAAGGCCTAGTCAACGGACTGAAGGCAGGACCGAGTAAGTATAACATGAAAAGTGGGAAAGGTTGTGGTTTGGGGCTGGTTGTGGGCTGGTCCAGAAGTGGGAGGGAGGGGAAGGTTGCCAAAAGCATTCTACTTTTCCTCTACAACAAGTCCTGCTTGTCTCTACAGTGACCTTGGGTTCTAAGGGTGGCTCCGGTCCCCCTGTATATGTGGATCTCGCCTATATCCCGAATCATTGCAGTGGCAAGACTGCTGACCTTGACTTCTTCCGTCGAGTGCGTGCATCCTACTATGTGGTCAGTGGGAATGATCCTGCCAATGGCGAGCCAAGCCGGGCTGTGCTGGACGCCCTGCTAGAGGGCAAGGCCCAGTGGGGGGAGAATCTTCAGGTGAGTTGCAACAAGTAGTATGCCAGGAAGTAGGCTAGTCAAAGCTCACTGAGAGGCAGTAGTGGAACACAGTCCCTGTTCTTCAAAGGACAGAGACCTCTCTGTGGGCAGCAGGGCTGCTTCTGAGGCCATCAGGTGCCCCTCCCCCTGCAGCTTCCCCCTCATGTTCTCACATCAGGCATGTCTTGTCTCTTGCCCAGGTGACTCTGATTCCTACTCATGACACAGAGGTGACTCGTGAGTGGTACCAGCAGACTCATGAGCAGCAGCAGCAACTGAACGTCCTGGTCCTAGCCAGCAGCAGCACCGTGGTCATGCAGGATGAGTCCTTCCCAGCCTGCAAGATCGAGTTCTGAAAGAAGCACCCTCCCTTCCCCAAGGAACTGCTCCCCCAGCTCCTTTAGAGAATGGCTACTGCTGAGTCCTCTGGGGTGGAGGGAGATGGGAGCTAGGGGTGGGGGAAGTGCAGATGTCTTGTTGGGAGGGACTTGGGGATTCAATGGGAGCAGTTGTCTCTCCCCCTCATGCATTTCTTAGAGAGGTCTCAAAATCCGAAGTAACAGGGATAGGATAGAGGGAGGGGACAAACTTAGGACAGGAGGACCTCTGATGCTTGAGAATCCTGGAATGATACCCTCTCCTCGCACTGCCACATGCTGGTACTGGATGGGGAGTGAGGATGGGTCTCAGAGAGCAACCTCTTCCCTCATGAGGGAGACTGTATTCCCAACCCCAGGAATCTCTTTATTTTGATCTATTTATTATTTAGCATTCTGGGAAAGACTTCCAATAGTAATTTATGTGACCTGGGGGCAGGATACTGTCAGTGAGGTGCCCAGAGCTGCGCCCTTTCCTCCATCTCCCATCTCCTTACCCACCAGGGTCTGGGTTCTAGCAGGGGCCTGGGGGTATACCGCTGCTACACTGTCCTACTGCTTCCTTCAGTATCTGAATGTCTCAATCCAAAACTTGAAGCTCTTTAGACCAACAGACTGGTAAGAGGAGAAAGGAGCTTATCTCCCAGCCCCTGCTTCATTCACATCCCAGGGCTGTGCCCAGACCAGGCCTACTGGGCAGCATAAAAGGGCAAGGAGAGCCCAGCCCCAATCCCAGAATCCTTTCAAGTTCCTTGACCTTTTAAAGTTTTCACCCACCCCATTCTAATTATCCTGATCCCTTCTCATCTCCTGCTTGGCTTCTCTGCATGTGGTCATCTGCTGTGGCCTGGTGTGTAATGGGTTAAAAATAAGCCACTGCCTGACACCCCAACATTTGACACCCCAGCAACGTGTGACTCCCCTGACATTTCCACTATGCCATCCTGCAGCTGAAATGGGAATGCTGGCTGCCTCTCCAAACCCAGACTCTCAGACAGAGGATCTGGAAAGTGGGGGCCAGGCCAGAGGACTTGGGGATACTGAGGGAGGAAGAAAAGAGAAAGATGAAGCTGAGCAACAGCTTAACTCATACAGAGTGAAATGAAAAGAGTCTGAAAATAGCTCCCCAAGAGAAGACCTCACCCCAAGCAAGCCAGTGAGCAGCCCTGCCAGACTACTGCTGGACTCAGAAACCCAGACGCTAATAGTCATCTGGGCTCGCCTTCTCTGCCAACGACTGGGAAACCAACATGAGCCCACCTGTGTTCTTCCTAGCTCCCACCCTCCCTGTGCTGCTGTGCTCTGCTCCTCCCTACTCTTCCCTGCTATAGTTCCCAGATGCTGTAATGGAGCCGCCTCCAACTCTAACAATAAATCAAGTTCATTGCAGATGGGGCAGTACTGCTTAGGGTTTTTCTGACTCTACACTTCACTTGGTTGCTGGGCCCTAGCTTCCACATCTCTGTTTCAACCAGCATTATCAGTGATCTCAAAGACTTTGATCCCTTTGATTACTGGAAGCAGTTCCAAGACTCAGAAGAGCCATAGAACCTAGGGTGGGTGAAGAGAGAAAAAGGCAAAAAGAGTCAGGATGATTTCTGAAAAATGAGGATGCCCGAGTATGGAGAATAGGAGCGTAGGGTGGGCACACACATTTGGTTTGGAAGAGGAAGCAAAGACAGGGGAGCTTCTGGGATGAGGACCTGCATTTAAGGGACCAAATAAACAGGATTAGACACTGGCCAGAGGAATACCAAAGAGGTAAGAAATTAGGAGCCCTAAGAGATCTAGAATCTTTTGAGGTTGGGAATACCTCTCATTGTACAATTGGGATTTTCATGGAGCAATGCATGTGTATACATGGCAAGGGCATGTTCTTGCCCTCACAGTGTTCAGGGCTCTCCCAATGTAAAGATGTTAAGAAGGCAGAGATAGGGTACATAACTTTTTTGTGTCAATGCCTCCCGATGCTCCAAGTATTGGAGTGAAAAACAGAGGGTGATTCCAAGGATTTGGCAAGACAGTATGTACCCTCTGGTGCTTTACAGAACCAGAGCCCCTTTCTACCTTCCATTACACCCAACACTTTACTCATTAAAGACATCTGGGTATAGTGGGCTGACTGCTACAGGGACCTCCTGGGATGGCTGATCTCTTATTTATATAGCCCATTTCTGCTCAACTCCAGTGGCTTTTTTTTTTTTTTTTTTTTT